ATTTTGTTTTAGTTCAGATTGAACTTAAAGTGTACATAAGTAAAGTGTTGAAACAGCCCAGTCAACTATCCGTTTATATCTACCTGAGAAAATAGTCCTCAAAGGGTAAGGATCACGGAACGCAGATCCGATCTTCGAGGTCTTACGCCGATGGCTGAAGAAAAAAGACACCGTTCAGTTCTCGACTACTCCTTATGACAGACGCGACTATTCCTTATGTTTGACAGTTTAATGCAACTGAACGCATGTTTACAAAGCCGTGTGAAGATTTAACGCTCTTCGCAGACGGCCATTATACTTGCTTAGGAGTAAGGTGATATAATCATCAGAAAAAAAAAAGTTCTTGATCATGCAAGTTGCTGAAATCATAAGCTAAATGGTTAATTACGAAAGCTACCACGATAAATAGGTGCTTTTACAGGCAACGCCTATTTACCCAGTTTAATCAGTTAACCCATGATGTTTTTCCGCTAAGGCAGATGGAGCTCCATGAATCTCTTCATCTGTAAATAACACATTAGCGAATGTGGATGGCACTTACCTGATGGTTGCCTGAGAATTGTTCCATATTTTTTTGACAGTCCGTCAGAAATGACGCGTTTTCTAACTGGGTCAGGCGCTATTCGTTGACTAATCATAATGAACAAACAAATACCCTTGGTNAAAAAAAAAAAAAAAAAGAGAAAAAGGTTCTTGATCATGCAAGTTGCTGAAATCATAAGCGAAATGGTTAATTACGAAAGCTACCACGGTAAATAGGTGCTTTTACAGGCAACGCCTATTTACCCAGTTTAATCAGTTAACTCATGACGTTTTTCCGCTAAGGCAGGTGGAGCTCCATGAATCTTTTCATCTGTAAATGACACATTAGCGAATATGGATGGCACTTACCTGATAGTTGCCTGAGAATTGTTCAATATTTTAACAGTCCGTCAGAAATGACGCGTTTTCTAACTGGGCCAGGCTCTATTCGTTGACTAATCATAATGAGCAAACAAATACCCTTGGGTTAAGTACGCCATATATTGTCTCATTTAAAAAATCCAAAAAGAAAAGAAAATCAAACCGGTTCCATTTTGCAAATGATTTTAACGTCCCCGTACATGTAGAAAGGAATTGCATCTAAATTGCCATCCAGAGAAAGTAACGTACGAAAAGAGTCCGGAAACTCTAATGGCAG